TAATAATAACTTTATTGTCAACCTATCTCCATTGAGATCTGGACTAACATACAATAAAGATTAAAATATATATTTAAAATACAAAAAATACAACAACAATAAATAAAAGTATAACGGGAAAAAAAAATATCTGTTAAAAAAAGTCTTTAACAAAGTAGTAAATAAATAGTTTAAATGTAAGAATGCATTATATTTTCAGGGCAGCTGGCAATCTCTGCATATTTTCTTTTCTCATAAGAAAGCATTTGTGAATGTATTTTGAGAATCAGTTTTTCATCTTTGTTATTTAGAAGAGTTTCTAATTTCCCTCTATTGGTATTGTTTTTAGGCTTGTATTTTTATTTCTTTGAATATATCGTTTCTTTCATTTATGTATAATTTACAGTTTAGAAGAAAGTGTATTTCATCCTCTACATTAGTTTTACAAATGGGACATTTTCTGTTGGATATATCTATGTTGCTCTGTGTATTCCTGTTTCTATCTGTAAAACGTGCGCACTGATTCTTAATTTTGTCATTGCAGCTCTATGTGATGGGTTTTTACCAACTTCTAAATAGTTTTCAAAAATATTATCAGTTTTTAGTAGTCTGTATATACGGAGTTTGTTTTTATGATTTTTTCCTTTATTGTCATCATGCATTTCATTTTTAGCAATTTCAGTGTACATACTTTTTAATTTGTCAGACACTGTGTTTATAATATTGTCATCGTTGGCATCTATATCAAGTAGATTGAAAATGTTTTTAACGCCGGTGACCCAGTTTTGGGTATTCTGACTATCTAAATGGTTTCAAAGACTGAATGCTTCTGCCACTTTTGGTATGCAAGTATGCAGATTTTTAATACTTGACAAATGCAGTAACAAATCCTATTTCCATAGATCCAAAATTATTAAAATACTGAGTGTATAAAATAGAGGAGATATAGCCTGCTAGTAAATTGTGAATGGATATATATATATATATATATATATATATATATATATATATAAGGATAAGGCGATTGGGTATTTAACTAGTGTAGTTTGGTGTACAGATCAATACCTTAAAATACTTTATTTTAGCTGGAACAAATTTTCGCTTTCGACTTGTTGGGTGTTTTGTATGATTATTTTTCACTGATTTTTGCCGAGGAAAAAGGAAATACAATAGTGTCAGCGTCAAGAATCAATTTCATCGGCACTCATCTGAAGACGCTCTAATACCATAACAGAGCTAGAGGAGTAAATGGTTGAAAGGAAATCCAATATTGGTTTATGCGCTAGTCAACCCCGACGCTCGCCACGCCACCTCGAGGGACATGTGGTTGCTATGAAAGTTGCAAAAAAAGAAAAGAGACAATAATAATTCCCCACAGCTTTCACGAATAATTTAATGTTGTTGTTGTTGTTTAGAGTAAGAAAACAGGTATGATCAGAGGTACATTACTTGGGGTTTGTAACTACGGTGACATGATACCAAGATCCCGTCACAATCTCGCTCTCGCACAAGCGTTCCAACTCAGAAAAAATGCGAATGCGCATGCCCGAGGTAACTAGGATACTGGAATGTCCAGGTGGATCAAAATAGCTGCCCACGATATGACGGATTACGAGAACTATATTTTCTGTACATTTTCGATGTATTACATTTTTCACTATGATAGTGACAAGAAAAGTTTATTTTTTTCATTACAAACCTTGAACATTGATATGCGTCATGTCAGGTCGTAGCCTCAGTCTCGCTATCTACGAGAAGAGACTTGAATGGGATCTTGACATGATGTCACCATACAGTACTATTGCGAGTTGCAAACCCCAAGTAATGTACCTCTGGTATGATCTGGGACACTGAGAGGCCAGTGTCCATAGATGGTGGAAACTAGAAAATTATTTGTTGATGGGAAATCATTTTGAATTTGCCTATTGTCACGGTAGCAGCCACATGACAGCGTGGAGTTGTTTAGGGCTTTGCCCTCGTCCCACCCCACTGCCGTGGTGTTATTTTGATTCTCTGGATATAGTGGGTATAAAACAGGGGTGTGTGTACGGAGACCTCTCCTTTCCTTATTTAGTGACGATTTTAAACATCAATCATGTAAAATACTTTATTTTAGCTGAAATTAATGTTCGCTGAAAATTGTTGGTGTTTTGTATGGAATTTATTTTCACTGATTTTTGACTGTAAAATATAGGGGAAAGGGTATATTTGCTGGATTTTATGATTTTTACTGAATCATTCCTTCAGCGAAAATAACGTAAATTAATTCCGAGCAAAGTATTCTGCAGTATATTGCATGGAACAACACACAATTGTTTACTTTTTGCTGGAGAATGTTCCATAATCCCAATATGGGTCTCAAATTTAACTTTTTCACCATCAGTTCCCTCTTTTTATATACCCTATACTAGTATATAAAATATGTTTTTGAAGTGCAGTCCCTCATCCCCTTGGCCATTTTCGCCAATTTTCAGTCGCCGGAGTGATTCACGTCCCAAATTTTGGTTCTCCGGGCGTCTCTAATAAATACCCTATCTAACCGCTGGACTGAATTAGCTAAATTATGAAAAAATCATAGAAGATTGGGCGATAATCGGTCGTTTTTGGCCTCAACGTTTTTTTGCTCGGAAACGCAAGGGCGATAAGACTCGATTTTCAAGAACGCAGGTCGCTCGGATCGGACGGTTTCTATTGTTTCGAGTCTGTTGTGTGTCTAGAAACATAACAACTTTGTTTTTTGGTGAATATAGAAAACATCATCTGTTCCAATAAAGGATTTTGATAT